AAAGATGATGAATCATTGGTATATTTTTAGGGCCCCAAAATCAAAACACATTATAGGGGACCTTCCCAATCATTGCCGCGTCCTGAATAAGCCGGCCCGAAAACACATTATAGGGGACCTCTTGAATAAACAGGGTCCAACATTAACTGACCTCCGATTTTCCAGACTCACTGCGTCTTTCTGTCTCACGCTTTCCGTTGTTTTCCCAACTCCACCTCTACCAGGACACCGCATTGACAGGACAGTTCCAGGTACTGGATGAACTGGAGTTCAGCCTGTGCAGGCGAAGTTGCAACGCCTGGAGAAAACATGCACATGCAAAACAGCAAGAACGTGCCATCCATTGCCATGGTAACTAGACAGATGGAAACCTAACAGAGAGGTTGATGGTCCGGTCTCGTGCTCCGAGTTGCAAGTCCTGTTTTCAACTCAGAATAGCGCCTTCAAGAAGCAAATCAGATCTTGGAAACTCCAGATGACAACAAGAAAGGAGGCCATGGGAGGGGTAAATGGGAATTTGTATCCCAGGACATGAATCTGCCAGGTTGAGGGTCATGTCTGCGACGCGTTGCTCTTCTCCAAAGTCTCCGTCCGCTTCACCTTGGAGCGCGTCATGCACCGGGTAGGAAGCCACGTTGTGGCCATTTGGGCATCTGATGAGTGCATCAGCGAGACCACGGAGGCAGCTCCGAGAAGTGGTTGAATTCTCAACATAGCTAAGCATGCTCCCTGTGAAGGTTGCCAGTCCGGCGTGTGCCCACCTCAACACTTTTTGGGAGCGAACCTATCTGATGATGCGGGGTTATTGCCTGGGAAGGATATGTGCATCGTGGCTGCAAGACTTACAAAAAACAATGCTGATTTTCTGAGCAAACGGTGACATTTGTGATTTGAACCGATTGTGGATGCCTTTTTTGGTCGTGTCACTGACTGTCAAGTAGCAGTGCTTAAGGCTTCTAGAGTCCTGAAGAGCATCCTCGAAGATCCTAATGTTCTGGAGCTCCGATGCGATGAGTTTCGGTCAGAGCAGGGCTCAAATGCTTCCATTTCCGAGTTCGGCAACTTGGCTGCAGCCTGCTGCCGCCAGGCTGCCGCCAGGCTCTGTTGCTCTTGGTCTCTGTGCAGCGAAGGCCAAGACTGGTTTGTACTTCGGAACTTTCTGGGCCTGAATGCGAAGGGCATCTATGTAGATGTTGGGGCGTCCCTGCCTTTCGACTACAGCAACACAGCGTCTCGCCCTGCTTGAATGGTCTAGGTTGCTGAGTCCTTGACCTGAAGTTTGCCTTTCATGTCTCAACAGAAGTATAGCGTGCGGTGTGGAGCACAAGTGGAGCAACAAAGTTGCAGGAACTGATGTTTCCCTTTTTTCGCACACCACCTACTAGAGTAATGCAGGTAGATAGATTCTATCATTGTTTTTGCAGCTTCAAGCAGGCTGCCGAAGGTGAAAATGCTCAGGTCATGTTGGACCGCTGCCTTGGCTGGCAGGGTCTTTGCATCGAGCCAAACCCTCACCTCAGCTTCATCCTGGAGGTGCCTTGACTTGTGACAAACAGTTTTTTGCAGTTCTGCCATCCTGCTGCTTTTTCTGCAGGCGTATCGCTCTTGTCAGGTCTTCCCGCGCCTCGACTGCATGATCGGCTGTCTTGTTGCGGTGATGCATGTCGTATTCTGATAAGGAACTGCGTTGACGAGGAGTGGTGAGAGCCACTCAGCACAAGCAGACGGTAGCACGAAGGCAGCTCCACGTGCAAAGGACGGCTTGACCCAAAAGCCTTTCTCGGACCGAGATGGCAAGGTCGAGTTTTATGCGGACCGCCGGATGAAGTTTTGGGCAACATGTCTATCTAAGCTCTCTCAGTCTACTTGTTTTTGAATGCTTTTGAGCTTGGGATGATCGAGATGCCAACGGCCAGTGTAAGTCAGCAACATCAGCACAACGGACTGTGACCTGGCCTCCCCGCGAGAGGACTGCTTGCCGTTGACCGAGATCCTGCGGCGGGGTGGGCTGTCTGGGCAGCGCATTGACCTTCTTACCATTGACGTTGAGCACCAGGTGGGGAGGGCATGGAGGGGAGCAGCTTGACTCACTGTGAGGAAGGGCCTACTGCAATAATGTCCCGGCTACGGGATGTTGCACGATTGTTTTGGGGGGCCTGAAAACATCCTCAAGCCCGGTTTGTCCATTTCTTAGCATTTTGTAGTTGATTTTTTGTGCAGAGTTTTGGGCTTTCAAATCTCAGTAGAGATGCAGATGGTTGGAGTCTCCCTCATGTTCTGTCAAGTGGTTCGGGCCACTTCAGGGTTCGACACGGTCAATTGACGAGTGCCTCTTGAAAATTGCTGCGCAGCACTGACCTCTGTTGTGTCGGAGCTTGGCTTTGGTGTCTTTGCACGGTTGTATTGGGGTATGATCATCGGAAATAAGCTCCTTGCAGCGCTACCGCGCTCCGCCTCGGCCGGTCGGCAGCGGAGGAGGACAGACAGCATGCA